GCGAAAAGAAACGTCGTGCTTCAACATCCCCAAGGAATCTCGAACATCCCCCGCCCCCACATCCCTTGGAACAAGACTGGATCCCATGAAACATACCTCGAAACATACCCCGATCCAAACGTGTCATGTTTTGTTTCCCATTTTTACCGGAAACACCCACATAGGTCTAAGCCTATAATCTTTAAACCCCAGACCTAACCTAAACCCTACACACTATGAATCCTAAATAGTAAACCGTGACTCCCTCTAGTCTGCTTTCTCCCAGGCTGCGGGAGACTTACCGAGTGACCCGCGTGATGGAGACGGATCCCCCGCAGGCCAGCCAGCTCTCAAAAAGAAGAAGAACAGGAATCCGTAATAACGATAGTAATATTATACATCAAGAAGTAGAAATAATTTGTAATAATCACACTCAGAATAACGGTAACCAACAATACTGAGGGCTTTGGGTTCAGGATTTGTGGTTTCTTGGGGGTAAGGTTTGGGGGTTAAGGGCTGAGAGTTTGGGTGTTGGAGTTCAGGCTTTGCCGTAAGTAGACAGAAGGTAAACATAAGAGAAGCCCTGATATGTTTGATCCACATTCTGGTCAAGGAGAAGTTTAGAGTCCTGCAAGAAGCCTCCTGATCGGTTCATACTCCTGGTTTCTGGGGTCGCAACTACCTAATTTTGTATTATCTTTCATTGCTTAGCTACGGGCCCAACCAAGGGTACAAACCCGAAGTGTGCCAAAAAACCCGGCACCATGTGACCCTCCGTTCTTGGGTGTAGTATCTCTACACCCTACACCCCAAACTGCCCTGAACCCTAAACCCTAATTCTGGGGCTCTAAGTCTGTAAATAATACCAACATTGGGCCCCAAGCCCTATGAATAGTACCTACATGGAGCCTTCGGGTAATCCATTTGGACCTTCAACCCTAAACCCTAAACCTTCAACCCTAAACCCTAAACCCTGATCGTGTGTTAGGACAGCACTCCGGTCCTGGTCTCCAAGTTGCCAAGGCAGGGTCTCCGAGTGGCTTCAGCAGCTGGGTTGAGGGTTTAGGGTTCAGGGTTTAGGGTTGAGAGTTTAGTGTTTAGGGTTTAGGGGACGGTGCACAAAGAATCTCACTTCCAGGGTTCACGGGGGTTAGGGTTTAGGAAGCTTTCAAAAAACAAGGACGGTGGGGTTAGGGTTTAGGGTGGGACCTATTTGAGAGAGGATTGCAGGAACTTGGGGTATGTTCCAAGATCATGCAAACGTCGAGCCCATGTCGACCATCGACACGTGGCCAGAATTTTCATGCGTGCCCGAAGGATTCTCTCTCGTTTGTGTTCCTCACAGTCTGAGGTTCCATTGGCTTCATGTGGATGAACCAGAGAGTCCTCGCCTCAGTGAGAGCTAGTAGGGGCTGACTGGAGCAATGTCTCTTGTAGCAGCTCTTGCCCAGTCATAGAACAGTTTTATTGTTCCTTTCCACCTTGGGAATACATGAACCCTACACCCTAAACCCCTAAATCCTAAACCCCTGAATCCTAAACCCTAAACCCCTACACCCTCAATCTCGACCCCCAGTTCAGATCTCGCGCGCAGCCGTTTTGGGACAGCTGCCTCAGTGTGGAAGTGATAGTTTTCATACAGGAGGGAGCCCAAAATAGACCCCAAAATCTAGACCCTAAAACCTACATGAGCTAAAGTCTAAACTCCTTAAAGAGGGTTGTAGAAGGGCTTATGTAGGGGAATACTTTAAGGCTCATTAAGGGGGATACTAGGAGTTTAAACTATAGCTCAGATCTCCCCTATATTACCCTTAACTTTGGGAACACCCCAAGTGTACATGGCCGGCCAAGGCACCGCTCGGCAGCAGCAGGAGCAGAGAATCTTGCTGTGGCCCTCACCTGGGCACATTCAATCTAGGTACCCCAGAAGTACCCTTTCGCGTTTTTTTTTGAGGTTTCCTTATTAAAGCTGAACAGTAAGGGTCCCATTTTGGTGCCCTGAGCATTAGGTGCCGGAGTGTCCTCTTTCACCAAAGAGGGCCCAGAGTTTTGCGAACATCCCACATAGAGATATGTACACTTGGGGGTTAGGGGGTCCCGATAATGAGAATCATAGTATTTCAGGGTCTGTAAGGGCTTAGGGTTTAGGGTTAAGAGTAACGGGAAACTACCACATAGGGCTATGTGGGCATCTAGACTAGGTGTAGGGTTTCACAAAACAGCAACTTCATCCCAGGAGGAACAGGAAATGGAGACTGGGATCTTGTAGTGATGACTTGTGGAGATTGCCGGCGTCACTATGAGCAGGTGTGTTAGAAACGATGTTCTTCCTGCTACTGTTTCTGCTGCTGCTGATTATTATCCTGACTCTGTTTTACTTGGCCATGAGATTGCAAAGAAACCTAAACCCTAAGGCCTGAAACCCTAAATCCTGAATCCTAAACCCTAAACCCTGAATCCTAAACCCTAAACCCTGATTCCTAAACCCTAAACCCTGAATCCTAAACCCTAAACCCCAGTAAAAACCTAAAACTTGCTATTTTGGGAGGAATCCAAGGTCTTCCTGGCCGAGGCGTTGCTTTTAGGGCTCCTAGGAGTCTAGGTTTGGTGGACCCCCCACCCTGACAGTGTTAGGGTTTTGGGTTTTGGGTTTAGGGTTCAAGGTTTTGGGTTTAGGGTTTTGGGTTTTGGGGGGTCCACCTAAGGTCTAGGGGTTAAAAGTTAAGACTCAGTCTAGACCTTGACATATTATATTGGGATAATGGAAAGAGAAAATGGAAACGACTATAGTATGTTGGGGTTAAATTGGGATAATGGAAAAGAAAATGGTTCTACTATAGTATATTGGGGTTATATTGGGATGATGGAATAGAAAACGGAAACTACTGTAGTGCATTGGGGTTATTTTGGGGAATGGAAAATAGAAACTACTACAGTATATTGGGATGATGGAAAGAGAAAATGGAAACGACTATAGTATGTTGGGGTTATATTGGGATAATGGAAATAAAATGGAAACTACTTCAGTATATTGGGGCAATGGGAAAGAAAATGGAAACGACTATAATATGTATTCATGGCTTGGACAGGAGTTGATGTCTTCCAGCGCCCTCCGGTCGGGGGCTCAATGCCGCGTGGCAGTTTCCAAAAAAGTCCAAGGGCTGACAGGATCTCATTTGGGGTATAGGTTTTAGGGTTTAGGGTTTTTTGGGGAACCATTCCTTTTGGAAACTGCCATGTTGTCTTATGCACGTTCTCAGGGCTCTCTGATTTTGATGCTTCTTGTGCTATCTCCAGCCGTGCCACAAGTGGCCAGGAGAGACATTGAGGAGAAGGGCAAGGAGCCTCGTGTTCAAGAGGGTGCTAGTACCCATTGGGGTAATATTAGGGACAATGGAAAAGAAAATGTAAACTACTGTAGGGTTATGTAGGGTATATACACTTCAAGGTTTACCTTGAGGTTCAGGGTTGTTGATTCAAGGTTTACCGGCCTTGCTCTCCCCAAGCAGACGTGGAGCCTGTAAAGGGGTCCTTTGTAGACTACTACTGCGTTAATGGAATCTATATGAGTTTCCATGTTAGTTCGGGCGGAGGGCACTGTCTGGTGTAGGCTTGCTTTGTTTTATCTAGAGGCTGAATAGGTAGGAAGATTCTCAGCGAACTGTCCTTGTATAGCTGCGGTGACAGAAAACCTTTTGCAAGCATTCTTCGGGCCTCAGCAGTATGAGCAGAGGGGGGTGGGTATGATCAAGACCTAGACCCTTTAAAACAAACCCTAAACCCTGGGGATCCTGGGATCATTCCTCCGGTTACCTGAAGAAGGAGCATGTCAATGCCACATGCACTCACTGAGTTGAGCGTGTACACGATTCTGTGTGCTGGCTCAAGTGAGAAAAGAGACGAGAAAAGTCTTATTGAGGTGAGGCATTCACTGTTGGCAGCTGGCTATCAGGTTGCCTAATACACCTTCAAGGTCCGAAAGAAAACATAGTTGTGCCACATGTTACTAGCAACTGTGGCTTTGGTGGCTTAATTGTACATCCCAAGTCTCGGCTATTCATTGCCAATTGGGCGCTGTACAGCTTCCGAGTGACACTTGACATCATTCATCTATGAGCTATAGTCTACACTCCTTAGAGGGGGAGGCGCTCAAAAGGAAGGAGGTGTCCTTTGTTGGGATTCGCAAGCTCACCGTCTTTGGTTTTTGAAGTCAGGATTTCATGTCTCACTGGGCCCTAAACCCCAAATCTAAAGCCCTAAACCCCAAACTCTGCCGGGAATATAGCAGGCGGAGCCCTCACCCAGCAATAGTGGCCACAAGGGATCATAAGGATTCTACTAGGGTCCTATTATATTCCTATTAGACCACTATTACAGGGTCGGGGTGTCCTCCTAACGAATATACATGTAGCGGACCCGCCGGTCTGAAGCTGTTCTTGCCAACGAAATTGCTGACGCGCACTAGTTTTGGGCGGAACCTTGGAAGTTCCAAAGCAGCTGAACTTGTGCGAACAGTACATACGAGCTATAGTCTAAAGTCCTGAGAGGAGTTGTATAGGGGAGGATTATAGGGGTAAATAAGGGGTCTAGTAGGAGTTCAGACTATGGCTCATATGAAGCAGAAGCCACGGAAGCTGTCAGCTTCTGCGGTTGCTTGTGGCAGCTGCCACTGTAGAGACGGATCTCAATCATGGCAGGGAAGGTATTTCCTTTGCATTGTCTTATACATTCCTAGCGTATGACCCACATGTTGCCGCTCTGGTTTGCGAGGAAGGAATAGTGCATGCACAAATCAAACCCGTTTGCGCCCGTGAAGGAAGTATCAACCGCGAAATCCTAGTCGAAAACTAACCATGTCTAGGCAGGTGCGTATGCTTCCTGCAGAACAGCAATTAAACTCTCTCAGGCCACCATGTCTCTGTTTTTTGTGTATGTGTGCTTGCAAGCCAAGCTCATGTCACAAGGACGGAATTATCCCCCCGTCCTCAGATGCGCAACACCGACCCCTAGCCAATCCCAGGATGAACGCCCTGATCAATGGCCTTTTCTTTCTGGCTGCAGTCCTGGCGCCTGCTGCCATCATTGTGGGGCTTTTGAGTCACCATCAAGGAGGAGGCCCAGAAGCTTTCCAGTGAAGGCTTTTTTTTTTGGGCGGGGGGGGTGGGGAGGGGGTAAAACTGGGGTTGATCTTATGGTGTAATGCACCTCAAAGTTGTTGTGTCGGTAGGTTTAAAGAGGTTTGGGGTAGTCAGTCTTTCCAAAACCCCGAAGCCCTAAACCCTGATGTGACCCATGCGCTGTGGCGCAGGCCTGGCGCTGTCCGCCCCCTTTGCCTGGCATCCTATCCTGATGTGCCGTTGCTCAGTTTCCGGCGGCGGTTAGGTTTAGGGTTTTGGGGTTGTGGAGCATGCCTATGCAAGACTTGTAGAGCTTGCTGCGGAATCTGCACATGTACATTTGCACGTGTATGCGCACCCACATATATGAATACGCGCATACACATATGCATCAATATGCACTGACTCACACATACGTGTACTTGTCATTTTACACATGCCCCTGAACCCTAAACCCTAAACCCTAAGCCCTAAACCCTAAACCCTAAGCCCTAAACCCTAAACCCTAACCCCTAAACCCTAAGCCCAATCATGGTAGGTCCATCGCCTTCCCGTGCCTTATGGTGCTTGGTCGATGGGCCTATGTCACCGATCTCATTGAAGACAAAAGCACCAGGCGCTGACAATGGCCAATGCTGTTGCTGTTCAAGAGACACTGGGTTGTATAGTATTCTGAAGTAATAATGGACAAGAACATGGAAACTACTACAGTGTATTGGCGTGTTGGTATGCAGTGGGATATTATGAGGGATATTGAAAAAAGTGGCCCATGTTGGCTTGCTATCTTTTTGGGACAGGACATGTACTTTAGGAGTCCAGTGTGTCTGCTGCGGCCACATCATTCATGGCCTTTGCTGGATGGGCACCCCTACAAGTAGTGTAGGGTACGAATATTTTTCCCAGACAGACACAGGACCCCCCCCCCCCCGACAGAACACCTTCAACCCCGTGTAATGTTCCAATCTATTTTCGGATAGGGTATGTTTCTAAGTAGCCAGTACCTATTTCCTCAAAGGGTTAAGGGTTTAGGGTTTCCGGACTCAAATGATGGAGGTGGTTTTGGAGAAGACCCTACGCAAAAGGCCCTAAACCCTAGCCCCTAAGGCTTAAGCTCCTAAAACCAAACCTGCCCCCAGACAGTGCCAGTGTTGGCTGTCGAGGCGAATTGTGCACGGAAGCCTCATGTCACTGGCGGCCTTGGTAGCACTTGGTGGTTGCCCGCCCTGCTCCTGGAAAATTCTGACTTCTTCAGTGTGTAGGGTTTAGGGTTAAGTTTTTTCAATCGGAACAGATCAGAATTCCAAAAAAGCTTCTCAGAATTATGATTCTGTGAGTCTTCGGGGGGTTCCTTATGAGGACACAGCAGACTTTAAGAAACATGAGCTATGCTTGGCCGGACTTCCGCCACGGCACTTCATGCTTCCACCACCCGCGAGGTTACGTCGCCATGTTCAAAGCCCACTGGCCCATCAAGCAGTACTTTGGCTCCCTGGCCTTTCGAAGCCCTGAACCCCAAACTGGGTTGTTGTCAAGGAACTTAAATTGAACTACCGTAGTTGATGTAAATGATAGGGCTTCCTTATGAAAATAACGCAACGTAAGTTCCTTGACAGGAACCCAGTAAACTTCCGGAGATAAATTCGTATGGTGCAGCCTTGGAAACCTAGCCTTGTAGAATCCTGAATCACCATAACCCCTCATATTAGGACTTAGGATTAAGTTGGGTTGTCCAAAGACATTAGGCGCCCCATTGAGGGTTTACATGGTAGCGAGGATTCCAATGTGTTGAGGTCTGCGTTTGGGCCTCGCATGTGGAAACATTCCTAGGAGTGATGGTGGCCTATTTTTTCGAGAAGCTCCCCCCAACCGTAAACCCTAAACTCTAGGCGAAGCCCTAAACCCTAAACCCCTAATTAAACCCTAAACCCCAATGTAGCAGCTTGAAGTTTTCAGATTGAAGCTGGTCGTAGAACCTTAAACCCGAAGCCCTAATTGAGCAATTAGTATTTAATTTGGGAATACTATGGTACCCATTATAGAGTAAGATTATATGTTTCTTTTGGGGTGTAGTATTTTATATAGGGGACCTTCTTTTTTTGACCGTGGACAGCTTTTTTCTGACCATGGATCTTTTTTT